TCTGTTTTCCCATCGCCATCCCGCCCCCCCCCCCCCCTCCCCCCCCCCGCCCCCCCCCTCCCACCCCCCCCCCCCCCCCCCCCCCCCCCCTCCCACCCCCACCCCCCACCCACCCCCCGCCCCTCCCCCTCCCCCCTTCCCCGCATCAACCTGCACCCTTCTTTCAGTGTCCCAATTTCAGATGGACCCATCCCCCGCCCGCCCCCCCTCCCCCCCCTCCCCCCCCCCCCCCACCCCCACCCCCACCCCCTCCCCCCGCTCGTCACCCTCCGCCTTCCACGTTCAATGTGCCCCCCCCTCCCCCCCGCCCGCCCCCCCCCCCCCCCCCCTCCACCCCCCGGATGCCCCCCGCCGCTGCCCCCGCCCCCGACGGCGCCCCCTCCCGCCCCCTACGCCGCCGCCATCTTTCATTCCGCCCTCCACGTTCCACAATCCAGTTTCGCACCCCCTGCCTTCTCCTACCCGCCCCCTTCCCCACGCCATGCGCCCATTGTGGCAGTTCAAAGGTTCTACATTGCCTCCTGGGCCCCTTGCCACCCCCCCGCACATCTCATTCCCTCCGCCTTCCGTCCTTCGTGATTTGCCAACCTCCCTGTCGCACTTCCATATTACCCCCTACCCCCCTCCCCCCCCCCCCCCCCCCCCTCATCCCGGATTTCTTCGGCGAGCCCCGCTTCCCCCAGGCGCCACTGGCGACCACCTGCCCAACGGGTCAGTCTGAAGCAGGGCCAGAACCACAATTCAAACCAACCATTTGCTTCTAGACAAGATCGACGAAACAGCGCCTCACTTACGTCTACGCGCAAGGCCGCAACCACAAGTCGACACAGACACCTGTCTATATACAAAGCGAAAACCAAACGCACCCCATCTAATGTCTACACCGACAGTGGTAAATACAAGAGACAGATAATGTCTACCACCCCGAGACGCGTAGACATAAGGCACGACTTAGTGTCGAATAGAAACAATCTCGGTTGGCATAGCGCCAATTCCAATGTCAACCGGAAGCGACATATACATTAATGTGGGGCACCCCCCCAAGCCGCAAATGCCGTTGACATAACGTGGCCCGCGTCGTCACGGCCATGATGTCTACCATTGTTGTGCGTTTCGGGATCGTTTGGTATCATCATATTACCCTCGCCAAATGAGAAATCGTCAGCAGTCGGCTCCCTCGGCGGGATTCGCGCGAACGGTGCGCCGAAATGGGCGCACAGACGAATTGCGTATCCCTCCGGTGGGGCTGTATATGGACCTTTCCAAAAGATGCGGTGCACGTCGCTAACGCGCCGCAGTGGGCGCAGCGCCGCCGTGCCAATTCCTCCTCGCGGCCCATCGATGGAGCGCCTAGTCGCGCGCGATACGTTTCATGGGCGCGACGATATGGGCGCGCATCCAGCGCGCGAGTTCTTCCGAAGGGGTAAGGGGCGTCTATACTGGGGCATTATCCGCGGGGCGGGCGTGCCGAAAACAACACGTTGGCGTCGAGCGACCCACAGGGGCCACGCTAGGAACTCCTCATGGGCGCGCGATCCGCGCAAGAAGGCGCCGAAATGGGCGCGGCGGCAGCAATGGCGGAATGAAATATAAGGGGGCGAAACGACTAGGAGGGATCGCGGCGGGCTTTGGAGATATGTTGAACATATCTCCAAAACCCAACTTCCCGTCCTCCCTGTCACCGTCCGTTGCTTCCCTCCTCCTTTCCTGCCTCCTCCCTCTTCCTCCTCCTCCTCCTCCTCCTCCTCCCCCTCCTCCTCCTCCTCCTCCCTCTCCTCCTCCTCCCCCTCCTCCCCTTTCATCTTCCTCTTCCTCTTCCTACCCCCGAAATTGTCCCAGGAGGTCGAGCATGGCTCAAGCTAGCCTCCGACCAACCTCCAAGAAGCCTCAAGGCCTCCTCGGGCTGGCCCAGTAAAGCTGAGCATGGCTCAAGATAGTCTCCGACAGCCTCTAGCCGAACTTGGCTCAAGAAAACCTCCAAACAACCTCGAGAAAACGTCCGACCGTGTCTGGATGGGCCGGTGGGGATACGCGAAGCGCCAAGACCTCCGAAGTCTCCAGCGGCCCTCGCGTCTGGAGCCTGTGGGGGAGAATGAGAGATCGTGGGGATCCTGGGAACGCGCCGCTGTCACGACGCCTCCCTCCTTTGAAGGAAGCCTTGCGAACGCGCCCTCCTCCTGGGCGCCACCGTGCCGACCAGGCCGGGCGCCACTGCCGGGCAGCGGGCCCCTGCCGAGCCACTGCCAGGCCACTGCTGGGCCGCGGCCGCAGATCTCCGGAGCTGGGCCGCGGGCCGGGCCCCTGCCGGGCCGCGGCCGCGACAGCGTGACCTCGTGCTGCATGGACCCCCTGCAGGGAGGCCCACGCCCCCTCCCAGGAGCCAGCTCTGCATCCCGAAGCCAGCTCTTGACGGCGCCGCAGGCCAGGGGCGGGGGGCTCCAAAAAAGGGAAACAGCCAACGACCTCCAGTTCTGCTGCGTGCGCGACGAGAGGGGGCAAACTTTCGGATCAGATCTCGGACCCCCGGCGGCCGTGCGGGACAATCCGGGCACCCCGAGAGCGCTCTCGGCGAGGCGCAGCTGCCGGTAAACACCGGGGGCCGCAAGAACGGGATCTGGGACACACCGCCGACGTTCGAGATCTTCGTGCCTCGAGCCGCGAACTTCCTGGACGAAGGACGGGGTCGAAGGCCCAGTACGGGGTGGCGCGTGGTGTTGGGTCTGAGAAGGCTCGCCACCCCGCCGCCGTCTCCGCGACAGAGCCCCGCGCTCCGGGACGTCGACGCCAGCGGTGGCGACGGAGACGGCGGCGACGACGAAAGCGTCGAAGACCGCGACGCCGACGAGGGCGGCGGCGCTGGACAAACTTGCTGGACAAAGGTGTGGGTCGAAGGCACTGGCAGTTGCTGAAAGCGGCTTGGCACAAGGTGACCCCGGCTTCCCCAGGGAGGTGCAGGGCACCCCTCACGAGGCCCAGGGGGGCCCCGGATGCCCTCCAAACGGAGCGAAAAACTCGAGCACCTGACATAACTGGACGAAGGTCATGAAGCAACTCCTGGGGTGTAGCGAGGTATCATACCTGATGAAGCGATATGACGCCCGATTCAGGAGCCTCGAGCCACGAACTTGCTGAACAAAGGTCTGGTCGAAAGCCACATCGTGAGAAAACAACGCGCCCAGAGCCCTGGACCTTGTTTGTCTACTGCATTTTCCGAGCCAGACCGATCTGTGAGGCCCCAAGGCTCGAAATCATACGAGACAGCCCAGCTCGAGAAGACTGCGACGCCAGGATCTCAGAACGTATTGATCTCCAAGGCGGAACCATCCCCAAGGATTTGTTTTTCATCACGACTCGTTGTTTGCCGGCCCCGAAGGCCAGCAAGGGCCCCCAGAGGCCGGAAATAGCCGAGCACCCTGCCGCCTGGATCTTTCCATGACCCCAGGCGGTCTGGGGTCGCAGGCCCCCCCGATCGCGCATGCCTGCGCGCGTGCATCCTGAGCTATTCTGGATTCGAGGCCCCCCCGCGGTAACCAAGGCCCCCCCCGTGGTAACCAAGCCAAAAAGCGTTGCGAGGCCCCCCCCCGCGGTAACCAAGTGGACAATTTAGATGGCCGGTCAGACCTAAACGGAACACGTGGTGACCAGACGCTCGCGGACGTTCACGCGCTCCAGAGACGGGTTCACAAGGACATACAAGGCTCCCACGATTCGCTAACGTATCCTCAGGTCGAGCATGTCCTCCTACAGGAGGATTCTGGAAGGCAAATTTAAAAGTAGCCAATACATATTCAAACAAGAAGAAAAATCGTCCCCAGACGATTTCTTCCCAACCCTCCCCTGGTTGGATTCTCGTTTTGAATGGAGCACTGTGGTCTCCACCTCTCCGTCTCCTCCCCCTCCTCCCGCCTCCCCCCCTATCTCCCACCTCTTGCCTCTCTCCTCTCGCCTGCTTTCTGCCTCTTGCCTCGTGCCCGCGGTCCGCGAGACTGTCACCAAGTTCGTTGATCCCTGGGAGGTCCAGAGGAGGGGTGCCCCACGGGGACCACCCTGAGACCTCGCCGTCCCCTGGGGGGGGCTGCGATTAGCGAAACTGTCGCTACTTTCGTTGGCTCTCGGGCGGTCCCTGCGGGCGGTTGTCCCACGGGGACCACCACGGGACGGGGGGCTGCGATCTGCGAAATTGTCGCCACTTTCGTTGGCCCCTGGGGATCCAGCGGAGGGGTGTCCCACGGGGACCACCATGAGACCTCGCCGTCCCTGGGGGGCTGTGATCTGCGAAGCTCTCGCCACTTTCGTAGGCTCCTGGGGGTCCAGCGGAGGTGTGCCTCACGGGGACCACCATGAGACCTCGCCGTCCCTGGGGCGCTGCGATTTGCTAAACTATCGCCACTTCCGTGGGCTCCCAGGCCAGGTTCAGCAGGAATGCGTCTTACGCAGATCACCATGGGACCTCGCCGTTCCCTGGGGGGCTGCGATTTGCGAAACTGTCGCCATTTTCGTGGGCTCCTGGGAGGCCCAGCGGAGGTGCGTTTTACGCAGATCGCCATGAGACTTCGACGTTCTCTGGGGGACTGCGATCTGCGGAACTGTCGCCACTTTCGTGGGCTCCTGGGAGGCCCAGCGGAGGCGCGTCTTACGCAGATCACCATGAGACCTCGCCGTCCCTGGGGGGCTGAATTGCGACGTTGGGGGGGTCCAGCGGCGCTGCTCCCACGAATTATGTCTCCAAGCGTATCTCCCTCTTGTGTTTCCACACTCCCTCGTGGCCGCTTTCCTGCTGACGATCTGCCACCCTGGCGCGCGATGCGCGCCAAGGGCGGCGCCAGAGGCGCCGCCAGGGGGGGGTCCAACGCAGGACCAGGAAATCCGCGGGAAGCGTCGAACATTTATGTTTATGGCGTTTTATCTTCGCCGAGATGCATCCCCCCTGTGCCTCTCCCCCCCTCTACCGTTGCCCCCGAAACCTCCCGTGATCTGTGGCCGAACCCCCCCGCCCCCGCCGATCACGCACAGGCGCGGCGCGGCAGCCGCCGCCGCCGCCGGCTCGGCGGTGCCGGGCGCAGCCTGCGCCTCTGCCGCGCACGCGTGGATGGGCAAATGTTCCACCACCACTACCAAATATAGGACGGGGGAGAAGGGAGGATGGGAAAGTCCTCCTCCTCCTCCTCCTCCTCCTCCTCCTCCTCCTCCTCCTCCTCCTCCTCCTCCTCGTCCTCTCTCTCTCTCTCTCTCCTACCTATGGTAGGGGTAGTGGGAAATCGGCCCATCACGCGTGAGGGGGGGGCTGGCGGCCGCGGGACAGCGTTGCGCAGCCACTCTCGAAGGCGGCGGGCGGGCGGCCCGCCCTGGGGCGATGAAGCCCTATTGGGGGGCTGCTACGCCGGAGAAGGCCGCGGATGAAGTGGGATTAAGGCAGAATGATCGGGACTGCACCAGCTTAGGCGGGATGAGGCCGGATGTCGGACCAGGGCAAACTCAGAACTTGACCTCCCAGAAGTTTACATCCAGAGGTGCCTGGAGAGTTTCCAGGCCAGCTGCAGCTGGGTCGGAGACGCGCAAAACCTGGTTCGGCCAGGGCCCAGTCGCGAAGCCCGGCCGGCCGCTCAGCAGCGCCTGGGCCCGGGTCAGCAGAGGGCAGACAAGGGCAATAAGCCCCACATGGCTCACGTCCTGGATCGGCCAGAGCGGGCTGGCTGACCCCTGTTGGCGCGGACCTCCCCGAGCGCGCTCTGGACACCGGGGAACCCTAAACCCTCGTCTGTGCACGGTAGGCCTCGTAGTCAAACTGCACTGCACTTACTGATCCATCGCGCCTGCCCTTCTCCCCATCCCGAATAGCGGCCTCCCAGATCGGGTCCGAGTGTCTGGTGTCGGAGGGCCTCGCTGCATCAACTCGAACTGCATCGGCGATGCTTTGGCGACGCCGGCGATGAAAACCGGGCTGCACATCGGGTTGCATCGCCGATGCGTCGGCGATGCGGCGCGAACCTCCGACTGCACTTGCTCGAACTCGACGTGACAGGCCTGGCTCCCTCGCGCCTCCCCACCTCTTCCACCTCAGGCTCCCCATCTCTCTGGCTGGTCCCTCTGCCACGCCTCTCTCTCTCTCTCTCTCTCGGAGGAGGAGGAGGAGGAGGAGGAGGAGGAGGAGGGGGAGGAGGAGGTGGATGATGAGGAGGAGGAGGAGGAGCAGGAGGAGCAGGAGGAGCAGGAGGAGGAGGAGGAGGAGGAGGAGGAGGAGGAGGGGAAGGAGAAGGATGAGGAGGAAGAGGAGGAGGAGGAGGAGGAGGATCTCTCTCTCCCGCTTCGTGACCCTCGTTGCCCTGAAGCCAGCGGGTCTCGGGGGAGACGGGTCCTGGCCCCCCGACCTTCCCCCCGAGACCAGCTTGAACCTCCGAGCCGCGTTGACACACTCCAGGAGACCCGTGGAGGGCCGGAGGGGGCCACACGCGGCGAAAAGCCCACAGACCTGCTGCCCTCAGGACCACTTTCCCGTCGCGGCGGTCCTCCTCCTCCTCCTCCTCATCCTCCTCCTCCTCCTCCTTCTTCTTCTCCTCCTCAATAGTCTCCTCTCCTTGCCGCTCCACTTGCTGGGCCTCCCGCTGCCACTGCGTGCCATCTCCATCCCCTCTCGCTGCCGCACCTGCTCCTCCCTTGATCGCACGGGCCGCCACCCGAAGCCACGTCAAAGAATAGCCCATCCCGCCGTCTGGGAGCGGCTCGGGCCGGGGGTTGGGAAGTCTCCTCCATCCTCAAGCCCTCCTTTGAATAGAAATTTCAGCGACTGCGCGCTGTCCTGAGCGGGGGGGTGACCACGTCCAGCTGTGGCATCGCTGCTGACTGACACTCTGCTGTGTTCTCCTGCACAGTCAACCCGTATCATAAGCATGCCCGGTAAGGATGCAAGGGCCTTGGAAGGCCATGTCAGCGTTTTCCGAACGAGGTTGACCAGCGAGAGTCGATGCGGACGGGCCGAAGGGGCAAGGATGCACGGGTATCCTTGGAAGGATGCCCATCCTACGCGGGTTGACTGTATTCCCCTGGACTCTTCCCACCCCACAGGAAGCATCGGCGGCGGGCCGCGGGGGGAGGTGACAAGCGGCGCAGAAGACCTCCGACCTTCTGAGAATGGTCTCGGAGAAGTCTCAGGAAGCTCCTCGGAAGGCAGGAGGCCTTCTGCAGATCGAGCCCTCTGAGAAGGCCCAGCCCCTTCTGCTTTCTCCCCTGGGCGTGGTGACTCTTTAGCGACGTGACCCCCGGAGGTCTATTGTCGTCCCGAGCCATCTGTTGACGGCCCCAGGGTACAGCGAAGGCCCCAGGGGACCGAATGCCGAAGACCTCCCGCCCTGATTCTTCTCCGCGAGAGGGTGCGGACGATGAGAGGGGGTGAACGACAACGCCGAGAAGGCAAGGTCGGGCATGTCCCCTCACAGGCGGATTCTGGACGAGAAACAAAAAATACCACCCAAAATGCCCCAAACTACTCACGAATGGCCACAGAATCGTCCGCAGACAATTGTTTGCCTAGTCTTAAACATACACCCTGCAGAGGGACAGGCCCGACTCAAGAGAAGGCCCTCCCCTCCGACGGTGGTCTTCGGATCAGAACTCGGAGGTGGACAAACCTCCCTTTAGTCAACCTCCCCTTAGCGAAAACGGCCCGGGACCGAAACCGACGGACGTGGACCCGCAAAAATGACGGCCGCGACGCCCTCTCGCAAACCGAAAACGGCCAATTCGCTCATCGACGTGCCAAGGCAGGAGGTCTGCCCACCCCCGAAGGACTCGGGCCTCGGGCGGCGGTCCGGGACGACTCCCGCAGCCCCCGAGGCGCGCCCTCGGCGGGGCACGGCTGCTGGAGGGCACCCCGAGGCGAGAGACCAGGGAGCGGACAAGAACTTCCCCAAGCCTGTCAAACATCAACAAATGAAGAAGCCCTGGCACACACAAATTCGCCGGCCCAACGGGCCAGGGCGTGCTAAGATCTCCGGTACCTGGTTAACAGTATTTCTAGTTCGCGCGCGCGGGGCGGCCCCTGGGGGTCCCCGGACGAAAAGTACCCCGGCAAGGTCCCGGCAAGTCCCCGGCAAGGTCCCGGCAAGTCCCCGGCAAGGTCGGGCCAGAGATGCTGGAGCCCTGTTACAGGGCCCCAGGACGGGCCAAGAGGTCCCCAAGAAGCCTCCAAGACGGTCCAAGAGGGCCCCGAGACGGCCAAAGATCGCCCGAAGACGCCCAACAGGGCCCCAAGACAGCCCAAGAGGCCTCCAAGACGCCCCAAGGGCCTTCCAAGAGGCCTCCGAAGAGGGCCCCAAGAGGCCAAAATCGTTGATTTTCATTGTTTTTTTCTATGTTTTTTGCGTTCTGGCTTTTTCGGCTTCCGGACGCTCCAAGACGGCCCAAGAGGCCCCCAAGACCGCTCCAAGACGGCCCACGAGGCTCCCAAGACGGCCCCGGAACGGCCCAGGAGGGCCCCCAAGACGGCCCAAGTGCCGCCCAAGACGGACCAAGAGGCCCCAAGACGGGCCCAAGAGGGGCTCAAGAGGGGAACCGAGAACTGAAAAATCGAGCCCTCCGCCCCAGAAGGCGCCCAGGAGGCCCCAAAAAGGCCCCAAGAGGCCCCCAAGAGGCCCCCAAGACGCCCCAAGAGGCGCCCAAGAGGCCCAAAAGAGGCCCCAAGAGGCCCCAAAACGGCCCCCAAGAGGCCCCAAAACTCGGCTAGCCCACAACGGTGCGACAATATGGGCCGGCGGAATGAGCGAAGCGATTAAATAAATACACACAAATGAACATATTCCCTATATTTTCAAATATTTTGTGGGTTTTTGTCTTCCCCCCCCCACTTCCCACATTTTCCTATATTTTCTGGGGAATCCTGAACGAAGCCTCCCCTCCTGAACGAAACCCTTCCCTCCTGAACGAACACCTTCCCCCTGGGACCGCCGCCAGGAGAAGGGGGAGCCTCTTCGATCTCGGAGAGGGCGACGTGCTCCAGCGCCTGACACCAGAAGTCCTGCGGGAGAGGATCTGAGTTACGGCGCGCCCAACAGCATGTGCGCCTCGTGCAACCCCAGGAGTCTCTTCATGCCAGCACCAAGAAGACAGATCATCGCCTCTCGTTGGTCCTCCTCCCTCCTCCCTCCGTCCTCCTTCCTCCCTGCTCATTCAACCTTCACCTCCCCCTATCCCCTCCACCTGCTCCTCCTCCCACTCCCCGTTTCCCCCCCTGCTACTGCTACTCCTCCGCCAGCTCCTCCTCCACCGGAGGGGAAGGGGAAATAGCCAAGGAGGAGTAGAGGGGAGAATGATGAGGAAGGAAGGTTGAGGAGGGGGAGGACAACGAGACAGGAGCAAGAGGAGGAAGGGCGAAGAAGAGCCGAGTCGGGACGACAGGGGACGCGGAGGAGGAGGAGGAGGAGGAGGAGGAGGAGGAGGAGCAACTGGACAGAAGGAGAGGGCTGAAGAGGCAGCGATGACGACAAGGCCATGGGTGAGAGGGAGGAGGCGTGCACGGCGAAGCAGAGGGGAGACCAGCGAGGGAAGGCCGCTCGGCCGCAAACGCACTGACATGGATTTTGCGGGTCCGTGGATCTGTCGCGTGTGGGCGCACCTGTTGCTCATCCGCGCGCCATAATCCATGAGAGCGTGGTCATGCGTTCCGCGGTGGCTCGGGGGCGCGCAAGCATGGATTAGCGATCCATGGATTTGGCGTGCGGTCGCCAAACCCATGGATCGGGGGAGGCGCCCTCCCCAAAATGCGGCCCGTGCCGCCTCACTCGGCGGCGGGAATCCGCGATTCCCCATGGAAACGGGACCCGCCGCTAACCCACGCCCCCCTTCACGTACTCCAGATTTCATAATAAAAGGGAGGGGGTATGGACCCTCCAAGACAAGCCATTTCAGACCCCCCCCCGTGGGAGAACCCTCCAAAACATCGTCCCCAGACCCCCCCCCAGGCCCTCCAAGATAGCTTGGAAGAGACCCCCCCCGAAATGAGACCCCCTCCCTTTATTACGAAATCTGGAGTACGGAAACGGGACCCGTTGCCAATCCGCGCGCCGTACTCCGGGGAGAGCGTGGCCATCCGTTTCGCGACACAGCGGCCGCTGCGGGCCCGAGCCGACCTCCCCCCCCCCTTCCGGGGCACGCCACGGCTCGTGCTGGCCTCCGAGTGGTCAATGAGCTGCTCCCCACCTCCGGGTAAGACAAAGCACTCTCAAGAGGAGTTCGCTGCCTCGATCAAAAGACGGCCGCGGCCGCGCCCGCAATCGGGGGCGTCCAAGAGGGATGCTTCCAAGAGAGGAGGCGCCAATCATTGCCAGCGGCATGTGCGCGGCCCAGGGGGGGGGGGACCGGGGGACGCGTTGAAATGAGAAGAGGCGGCGGTGGGATCTGGGAAGACACCATGCCCCCCGCCACGAGATCTAACCCCCCCCCAGTCATCACCCCCCTCGCTGAGGCCCCCGACGCAAGCATCGCAAGCATCGGGACCCCTCCGGAGCCCCGGGGAGGACGCCTCGAGCTCGCCGCTCAGCTCCTCGAGCTTGCAGCGCGCCTCGGCGAGGCTACCCGTCGTCGCTGCCGCCGTCGTTTTGCCGCCGTCGTTTTGCTGCCGTCGTCGGGCCGCGTCGGCGCCATCGGCAACCGGCGTCTCCTCAAGTCCCCTTCCTCCTGCCCCTCCTCCCGCCTCCCCTAGCGTCGTGAAAAACTTACGACGGGAAGTTTCTATATCTTGTTTCGGCCCCCGGGGGCCCTCGCCGGGCCCCAGGGCCTCAAAAAACGACTCGAGATGAAAACCAAGTCCCCGGAAAGAGGTCCAGACCTCTGGGGGTCCAGATCTCAGGATGGCGCCTCGCCACTTTCCAGGAAATCGAGGCGCCATCCTGGATAGCACCTCGAAGATGTGCACCCTGGCGGCCGAAGACCGTGACAACATATACTTGACCAGTCAGGAGGACCACTGCTGCTGTGCTGCACACTGTGCGGGAGGCCATACGCGAAGACCTCTGGGGCAACATGCGGGAGAGCACACAAGAGAACAGATGAAGGACACACGGGAGACCATCGGCGGCGAGAGGGGGGGAACATGAGAAAGAGAAGGGACTTCTCCGTAGCCCTCCGGCCTTTTGGACAGGTTTTTCCTGTTGTCGGGGAAGGCTGATTTAAACTCATTTGAAGGGCGGGGGAAATCTGAGACTTCTGGTACGCCCCTTTTCACTTCATCCCGCGAGCTCGCCGCCGGGACCAGACAAGAGCAAACATGGGGGAGCATACGGACGAGCACGCGGACCAATCGGGAAATACCACACAGGAGGACACAAGCGGGAGACCAGCAAAAAGAGAGAGAGAGAGAGAGACCCACGAAAAAAGCCATGCGAAGAACTACATGCGGGAGGCGGCACGGGAAACTACACGGGAGACTCGGTGGGAAACCAGCATACAAGAAAACAGCTCCATAAACATAAACTTTTGGCGCTCCGCGCGGATTTCTTGGATCTGCGCTGGACCCCCCCCCTCCCTGGCGAGCGGAGCGCGCCAGGGGCGGCGGCGGAGGCGCCGCCAGGGGGGCCCAACGCGGATCCAAGAAAACCGCGCGGAACGCCAAACATTTATGTTGATTCCGTTTTTCCCTAATCAATGCTTGCACTGAAGGGGTCCTCGCGGATGATGCTAGAATTGGCGAACATGCCTCGCCGAATTTGATGGCACGCTGGGTTCCCGGGTTCCCGGTTCCGGGCTCCCGGATTCCTGGTCATTGGTTCCGGGCCGATGGTTCACTACCGATCTCACTGTCGAGTTCATTACGGATCTCCTTGGTTCCCGGGTTCCCGGTTCCCGGGTTCCCGGTTCCAAGTTCCCGGGTTCCTGATCATTGGTTCCGGGCCGATGGTTAACTATCGATCTCCCTACCGATCTCACTGTCGAAATCACTACGGATCTCATTCAATGTTCCCCAATCAGTGCTTGCACTGAAAGGGTCCTCGCGGATATTGAAAGATGTCGCGAAAAAAAAATACGATTTTGGTCGCACGCTGGGCTCCTGGGTTCCCGGATACCGGGTTCCTGGGTTCCCGGTTCCGGGCCGATTTCGGAGTGCGGCGAGGTTCCCGGGTTCCCAGGTTCCTGGTCGATTTTCTGATCGATCGGTCTCACCATCGATTTCATTACCGACTTCTGGATCGATCTCACCAGCGATGTCACAATCGATCTCACTATCAATCTCACAAGCGATCTCACTGGAGACCGCATGAGCGATCTCGCGATCGATCTCACTATCAATCTCATTGAATCGATTTCGCTCTCGGTCTCACGATCGACCTTACAATCGTCCACACTATCGATTACACGATCGATCTCATTATCGATCTCACAATCGATCTCAAATCCATAGTATCAATTTTCAAATCATCTACTGATTGGGCTTTTCTCAGGTGTAATTGTTCTTCGACGCACCGAAAACCACACGGGAGACCCGGTGAGAAACCATGAAGGAGACCATTCGGGAAAGCACACGGGACACCAGACGAGGCCAGAGCACGGGAGACCGTGCGCAAGCAAAGCCAAGCGGAAAGCCATACTTATGGGTGGCCACGGGCCACCGCTTCCAGCTCCCAGAGGGACCACGCCAGGACCACGCCAGGACCGCGCCAGGACCGCGCCAGGACCGCGACAGGACCGCGCCAGGACCACGCCAGGACCACGCCAGGACCCACGCCAGGACCACTGCAGACGAGCTTCCTTGAGTAGGCAAGAACAACGGGCGGTGCCCCCGAGGGCCTCGGGGCGCCCCTCCAAGAGGTCTCGCCCTCGCTCGGGCGCTCCCTCCCCGTGCATGTTCCTTCGATGTCCTGCAGTTGATTAAGTGCGCCGCCAGGAGGATCCGAGATGCTCCTCGCTGGTCCTCGCCGAAAAAATCACACGTCCGAAAGAGGCCAGGTCGCCAGGCGAGGCCTGGCGACCTGGGCGGAGGAGGAGGAGGAGGAGGAGGAGGAGGAGGAGGAGGAGGAGGAGGAGGAGGAGGGGCCTCGGGGCGCTCTTCCAGTGCTCTCGGGCCAGGGCCGTCCCTCATCTCCACCGCCCCTCCCTATAGGGGGCAGGGGGAGGCGCCTCCGCCCCGCGGCCCCGAGGCCGACCTGCCCGACCAGGGAGCCTCTCGAGCGCCGCTCCCGGAGTCCGCCCCTCTGCCCAGGCCTGGCCTCTTGCCGCAGGATTGGCAAAGTCTGTCCTCCCTCACTGTCTCCCTCCCCTGCTGCGATGCGAGCCACACCCACGCCGTCATATAGACACTCTGGGGAGATGGCTCGGCTGGTTGTTCCGGCGAGTCCGACGTTGCCCAGCCTTCTGGGTCGCGCCCAAGGACCCCACAAGGGCCTCCAGCACATCAAGAAGTGCGGCGCCGACGGAGGTGACGCGGCGCCACCGAGAGGGGGCAACATCCGAACCCTACACCATGCCCACCATCGATTTTCCTGCATCGATGGGGGGCGGGGGCTGGGTTCGGCTTTCGCCACGTGTTCGACAAATCCCGAACCCCACCCCCACCGCCCATTAGTTACCTGAACCGTTGATCGGCACAGGCAGGGTTCGGAGTTCGACACCGAACCGAGAAGCCGATCTGCCATCTGCGCGTCGTCCAAACGCCGGTTAGAACTGGCGCCCAGAGGTGCTCCCAAGGACCATTCTCCAGAGCCGCGTGCAACCGCGGCGGCGAGAGCCTCCGGAAACGCCGCAGAAGCAAAGGAAACAACATCCCGCGGCGGAGGCGCGGCGCCATGGAGAAGTTGATCTGCACGTCGACGGTCCTGGGCACCGCCGGAGCCACCCGCATCCGCACTGGTAAGGCCCTTGGCCCCACTCTCCGACTTGCTCCTCACGGGTGGATATGTGTTTTTTTTGAGTGTCTATATATATATATATATATATATATATACATATCCCTGGGGGCGAGGCCGGGGCCCCAGGACAGGTGCCTCGACCCTGGAGCCTCCTTGGAGCAGCCCAGGCGGCCCAAGAGTGCCCCAAGAACGCTCCACGACAGGCCCAGCAGGCTCCAAGAGGCCCAAGAGGGCGCCAAGAGGGCCCCAAGATGCCCAAGATAAGCCCAAGACGGCCAAAGAGGCCCCCAAGACGCTCCAAGAGGCCTCCAAGAGGCCCCCCCAGAGGGTCCCAAGAGGCCCAAATCGTTATTTGTTCGAAGGTTTTGGACACATTTTGCTTTTCCCGCCTTCTCAGCTTTCCGACGGTCCACGACGGCTCAAAGGCCCCCCGCGGACGCCACAAGAGAGCCCAAGAGGCCTCCAAGAGGGGCTCAAGACGGCTCTGGAGGGCCCAAGACGGCCCAAAACGCGCCCAAAACGGGCGAAGAGAGCCCCAAGACGGCCCAAGCGGGCCCCGAGTCGCCGAAAGACCGCTCGAGGACGCCCAAGATAGGCCCAAGACGGCCCGAGAGGCCCCCCAAGGCACTCCACGACGCTTCAAGACGCCTCTCCAGAGCGCTTTAAGAGGCCGAAATCGTCAATTTTACGAAGGTTTTCGAACGATTTTGGCCTTCCAGCCTTTTCGGCTGTCCGACGTTCCAAGACGGCTCAATAGGCCCCCAGGACCGCCCCAAGACGGCCCAAGAGGGCCCCAAGAGGGCCCCAGAGTCGCCCAAGACAGCCCAACAGAGCCCCAAAACGGCCCCAAGATGCGCTCAAGACGGGGACCACGACTCCGAAATTCGACCCCCCGGCTTGAAGAGTGCCCCAGGAGGCCCCAAGGAGCCCCCAAGAGGCCCCAGGAGGCCCCCAAGAGGCACCCAGGAAGCCCAAACGAGGCCTAAAGAGGCCACAAAACAGCCCCGAGGAGGCCCCACAACGGTCCCAAAACGGCTACCGAGAAACTGCGAAACTGCCTTCACGACGTCCCCGACAGGCCAACCACGAGATCCAAACCAACACCCATGAGGCCTCTGACCCACCACCCAGGGCACGGTGGCGGGAGCAGTGACAGCACTTGTGCACAGCATGTTCCGGCGGGAGCCTTCCGGAACACGCTGCAGGAGGAGGAGGAAGATCAGGAGGAGAGAGAGCTGGAGTGGGAGGAGGAGGAGGAGGGGGACAAGGAGGAGGAAGAGGTCTCCAAGACAGCTCCAAGATAGCCGAAGAGGCTTACATGAGGGCCCTGGGCGGCCCACGAGGGCCCCAAGGCGGTGCCCGAGGCGCCCAAGACGGCCCGAGAGGGCCCCAAGACGGCCCCAAGATAGGCCCAAGAAGGGAAGCGCGAACCGAGAATCCGAGCTTTCTACCCCGAGAGGTTCTCGGGAAGTCCCAAGAGGCCCCCAATCGGATCCAAGAGGCCCCCAAGAAGCTCCCAAGAGGGCCGACGAGGTTCCAAGAGATCTCCCAAGGTGGCCCCAAGAGGCACAACTCATTGTTGTACGATTGGGCTTTGACGGGTTTAATTTTTTTCTGCCTTTTGGCATCCCGATGCTCCAAGACGGCCCAAGAGGCTTCCAATACCGCTCCAATATAGAGGAAGAGGCCTCCAAGAGGGCCCCAAGACGGCCCGCGAAGGCCGCAAGACGGTGCTTGAGGCGCCCAAGACGGCCCGAGAGGGCCCCAAGAGAGGCCCAATAAGGGGAACGCGACCCAACAGCAGAGCGTTCCCCCCAAAAGACCCACAGGAGGCCGCAAGAGGCCCTCAAGTGGTCCGACGACGACGCCAAAAGCTTCCCGAGCCCAAAAGGCCCCCAGGAGACGTCCAAGAGGTCTGAAAATAGCCCAAAACTGCTTCCAGGAGGCCCCCGGGAGGCTTCCGGATTGCCTCAATTTGGCCGCAGGTGGCCTCAAGTCGGGCCTCCACGCAGCCAAGACGGCCAATGACGGCTTCAGATTGCAAAACCGATGCCCCCAAGGGACCCTCAGACGCCCCCCCAAGAAGAACCCAAGAGGTGCCTCCAACAGCCAGTTGACGAAGCATGCGGAACACCCCAAAAGCTCTTCAGATACCGTCGCGCGCCTGTGCTTGATAGCGACGTCCAAGATCGTTCAGCGCCCCCCCGGCCTGGGCTGGAACCTGGGCGCGCGCGAAGCGCGCGCGATGGTTCTAGTATATCTATATATACACACATCATATCCGCCGGCCCCCTCGTGGGGCCACCAGGCTGTAGGACAAGGGTTTGCTGTTCCCTGCGCCACTTCCAGTTTCCAGTTTCCACTGTTCCAGTATTGCCTTATGCTGCTTACTTTTGTAGACCGCGCGAGCGGGGGTAGCCGAAAATCCGCAAATCTAGCGTCTCCTGGGAGGGTTCTCAAAATTCCGGGGAGGTCGAAAAAGCAACGGCGCGCAGCGGGATCTCCCCAAGGGGGGGGCGGCTGGGAACCCCTCCCCCCCCCTCCTTTCTCCGATCCGTCGTGGGGAAAACCGCCCCCCCCCCTCCCCCCTTTTCCCTGTCCGTCGTCAGGCGGGGCCCCCCCCCCCTTCCCCCCTTTTCAGAAGGGGGGGGGGAAAGGCCCACCCCCCTTCCCCCCCTTAGGCCGCCAAATTCGACCCCCCCACCCCCCTTTCGCCACGGCGCCCCCTGGCTCCATAACCCGACCCCTACCACTGACACCCAGCCCACCCGTAACCTTAACTTCAAAACCCCACCTTATCCCTAGCCCCAAACAGCACTCAGTACTCACTATTCACTACTCATTACCCACTACTCACTACTCGCTACTCACTTCCCACTTCTCACTACTCGCTGCCCATTACTGACGACTCACTACTCACTACCCACTACTCACAACCCACCACCCACTACTCACTACTCACTACTCGCTAGTCCCAACGTACTACTCCCTATTCACTACCCACGACTCACTAAACAGTAAGCAGTACTCACTACCACTACTCATTAAACACTGCGCACTACCAACTACTCACTCCTCACGACTGAGTACATAGTTCACTACCCACTACTCGCTACTCACTGTGCACTACTCACTACTCACTACTCACTACCCATTCCTCACTATCACTACTTACTACCCACTAGTCACTACCCACTACTCACTACTCACTATTCACCACCCACTCCTCACTACCCTGTCCTTACTACTGTCTACTCACTACGCACTACTGACGACTCACTACTCACTACTCACTCTACACTCACTACTGACTACTCACTACCCACTACTCACTACGCACTACTCACCACCCACTACTCAATACCCACAACTCACTGCTCTCACCACCAACTACCCACGAGTCACTACTCACTACTCACTAATCCCTACGCGCTACTCACAACTCACTACTCACTCCCCACTACCGACTACTCCCTACTCACTGCGCACTACATATTTCCATACACCCACTACTCACTACTTACTATTCAAAATGCCCGACTCTTTCCTCACTACCCGCTACCCAGTACCCACTATGCCACTCACTTTCCACCAGTCTCTACTCTCCTCTCCCGACTCACAACTCACTACTCGCAATTCACTACCACTACTCAAAACTCACTACTCACCACTCACTACCCACTACCGACTACTCGGTACCCACTACCCTCTGCCAGGTACTCACTAACGACTTCCCACTACCCACTACTCAATACACACAACCCACAAATCATTATTCGCTACTCTCTCTCCCTACGCACTACTGACTACTTCATACCCCCTACTCGCTATCCAATACTTCACCACTCTTTACTCACTACTCACTACCCGCTGCCTCTACTCGCAAGTCGTCCTCGTCCTCATCCTCCTCATCCCCCTCCTCCTCCTCATCACCATCATCAGCAGCAACATCAATATCAGCGTCAGGGAACCGTCAGCAGCATCGTCAACATGATCGTCGTCGTCGCCTTCTCCTCCTCCTCCTCCCCCTCCCCCTCCCCCTCTCGAAGCCTTCGTGAGGCCAGTCCAGGAAAGAATCGAAAGATCCAGAAACCAGAAAATCGAAAGTTCCCGAGGCCAGACCCCCCCCCCTTGCGGGAGAGGCCCCCTCCCTGGCTTCCTGTTCGGCGCAAAGGGGGGAGGGGGGCGGTTCGCCCCCCCTTCCCTTCCAGCGCCAACGGGGGGGGGAGGGGGCGGGGTCAAAAATCTCCCCCCCCCCCCCCCCCTTTGAAGAGGGGAAAGGGGGGGGGGGTTCTGCGAGCACCCCTCCTTTTCAATTACAGGGTGATCCAGTGGCGCGCTTTCCGAAATTGCCACCCCTCACGCAGGTCGGAGAGGATAATCATGGAATGTTGCCTCTTGGGGCCCTCTTGGGAGGCCTCTTGGAAGCTTCTTGGGGCGTGCTGGAGGTTCCTGGGGCCGTCTGGAAACCATCGTGGGCGTCTTGGAGCGGGAATTCGGCGATTCCCGGCTCTCTTGGAACGTTTTGGAAGCTCTGAGAACCCCGGTGTTCTGTTTTGGTGGCTGTCTTTGGCCGTCTGGGGGCGTCCCCGGAAGCCTGGGACGCCCGTAGAGCGCATTGTCGGCTGTCTCGGCACCCGCGTGGGGGCCTCCTCTGAGGCCGTGCTGGGGCGATACTTGGGGCGTCAAGGATCGTGTCGGGGCGTCTGGAAGATAAAAATACAGAAACATCAGAATCAAGCAAAAAACATACAACTTTTTGGGACCTTCGGAAACTCTGGTGTTCTGTTTTGGGGGTTGTCTTAGGCCGTCTGGGGGCGTCCCCAGAGGCCTGGTCCCCCCATGCCCTGGAGAGGTCCCTGGGCACGCGGGCAGGGGGCCTCGTCCCCTGGGATATGTATATATATATATATATATACACACATATATACATACATACATACATACATACATACATACATACATACATACATACATACATACATACATACATACATACATACATACATACATACATACATACATGCATGCATGCATGCATGCATGCATGCATGCATGAATGAATGAATACATACATACATACATACATGCATGCATGCATGCATACATACATACATACATACATACATACATACATACATAAATATATATAGATATACATACATATAATATATATATATACATATCTATAAACATATAGATATATATACATGTGCATACACATGTGTATATGTATACATACATATATATATATATATATATATATGTATATTTATGTATATATGTATTATATATATATATGTGTATATATATGTATGTCGATCTCTGTGTGTGTTTGTGTGTGTCGTTCGCGGTTCCACCGAGGCTCCGCGGGGCCTCTGCTCACCTGGGGGCGTGAGCGGGTGGGGCTGAGATCACATACGCAGAAAAAGCGTTCTGTGCAGCACCACCGTGCCAGGCCAGGGCCATCCTGGGCCCTGACATGGTGCATACGCCCTCCTGGCCGAGGCCAGGAGGGTCTATACACCATCCCAGGGCCCAGGGTGGCCCTGGCCTGGCACGGTGGTGCTGCACAGGACGCCTTCGCCGGATCGCATGGCCCGGTGGAGATGGGGAGCTGTCATCGGCCGAGCTCCCGAGCGAAGTGAATCCCCCCCCCTCAGAAATCGTGGGGGGCAGGGGCAGGGCTCCCACGTGGCCCCCTGCACACTGAGGGGCAACGATAGGGGGGATGGGCATAGGGGGGGATGCATCGACCTGGAATCGGCGATACATCGTCGATAGATCGGAGATAGGCCTCCGACAGTGAATCCGCACCTTCCTGGGCAGGTGGGGGCCATCGGGCCCCCATCGGCGATCAATGGGCGATTGGGGGTCGATGCATCCCCCCCTGTGCCTGTCCCCCCCCCTATCGTGGCCCCTGACACACGCAGGGGTGACCCGGGGCAAAGAGTGGCCTCCGGTGCGCGGCCGAGCGGGGGGGACGCGGGGTGGCCACACGTGGGCGCACGGCCGCCGCCGCTGCCGCTCCGCTCTCGGCGAGGGGGGGGGCCCAGCGGGCCCGCACCGAAGGTCACTCTGGCGAAGGGCCACTCTGACGTCTGGCCTCAGGTCGGGCAGGTCCTCCTTCAGGCAAGCTTTGGGCGAACAATAAGAGATAGCCAACACATGCTAGAAGAAAAAATTATACCTGGCCAACAAATGCTCGAACATGGTCAAACATAGCAAGAACATCGTCCCCAGACCATCTTTCTAAACTATGTTGGAATATTCCTCCTGTAGAGGGACACGCCCGACTGAAGTCTAGTCGAGGTTCGACGATGCCGAGGTCCAGCCCGGCCACTCGAGCACGTAGCAGCGGTGCCCCTGCTGCGACAGCAGCGTCGCGAGCGGCCGCATCTCCTCCTTCCCGCTGCAGACCAGCGAGACAGAGGGTATCAGCACCTCGCGGGCGGGCCGCCCCTCCTGCATGCTCCTGCTCCGTCGCTCGAACACTTTTATCCAGGATCCTCAAAGAGGTTCAGCGGAGGGCAAGCGCACGCGTGAACGGGGGGCGGCGACAACACGGGGTCTCTTCTTGGCGAGCCAATGGGATTGTGGGTAGACCAGGAGGAGGCGTCCTCCTCCTGTTCCGCCGGTCAGGCACCTCGGTCCACGATCCTCGAGGAGGAGAAACAAGAGCAATGTCCTCCTCCCCCTCCTCCTCTTCTTTCTCCTTCTCCCCCTCGAGGACCGAGGCTTTCAAAACGTCCTTGGCCGCTCCTGGGATTCCCTCCTGTGACCGTCTATCGATTCTTCCGCTGGCCTCTGGAGCCTCGGATGTTTTTTGTTGTGCGTCCTTCCCCTAAGCCTCGAATGCCTGAGGTAAAGCTGAACCCAATGTGGGCGAGTGTTGACATGTAGCACTGTATTTAATGCTCGGCTGTACCTCGCATGTTGGGAACTTCCGCGGATACTCGACCGACCGATGAACCTCCTGATCCGTCGTTCGAACACCTCGATCAACGATCCTCGCAGAGGAGCCGTCTCTTCAAAAAGTGTTCGGTCCTGTCTGGGCATCCGAAGCTCGTGTGGACCTCTCGGAAACGTCCCAAGACCTTTGGGGACCTCCCGATCCCTCCTTTCACATTGGTCCGTCCTCCTCCTCCTCCTCCTCCTCCTCCTCCTCCTCCTCCTCCTCTTCCCCCCTCCCTGCATCACTCCTTCTCGCCTTCCTCCCTCAGATGAGAAGCATGACCGCAACTAAGGGGTGAGGAGGGCACATCGGGGTGTCGTGCGCTGCAGCTCCATCGACACACCCTCCATCTCTCTCTCTCTCTCTATCTCTGCTATTGTATTGTATGGTTAGTTTCTCTCTCTCTCTCTCTTGTTCTCTGTCTCTTTCTCTCTCTATAACATCTCTCGTTCTATCTCTCTCTCTCTCACTCACTCACTCATGCTAGCCCTCTCTCTCTCTCGCTCTCTCACCCTCTCTCGGCGGTACGTGTATATTCCCCGCTGTGCCTGCACGGCGTGGGCGTGTTAGAATGCTCGTCTGGTGCCTGGAAGGTTCTTCCGTGTTTTCTGAAGCCGACCTTCCCCCCCCCCCGCGCACCGACACGCCTAATCCTCCCCCCTCCCTTATCCTTCTCCTCCTCCAGCCTCCTCCTCCTCCTCCTCCTCCTCCTCCTCCTCCTCCTCCTGCTCAGCTCCATCACTCGCACCGGGAGCGTCGTCCAAGAGGGGGCGTCCAAGAGACGGTGGGGGGGGGGGGGCGCATATGGTGGCCGGCGGCACGTGCGCGACCCAGGGGGAGAGCGGGTTGTCGGGACACGCTGGAATGATAAGGGGCGCCGTGCCGAACGTTCCCAGCGAGGCGCAGCCGATAAAATGCATGCCGAGCGGGCAAAAACACCGAAACGCCCGACAATGGGCACGCAGCGGGCGTGCCCCCACGTCCTTTGCCTGCTTCTCTGAGCCACATTCAGTGAAAACTAAGGGTACAGGGCTTGACCACGAGGTGATAATTATAAGCTGAGAAACCCACTCTTAGGAAAACGGCGGCGACGTATCGAGGCATCCCACAACTCATCCCTCGATGGCAAGCAAGATGGGAAACAAGAGAGACATCCATGGGATGGAGAGGTGGATCAGATGCTAGGATCCCAAATCGAGGCGCGCAGAGTCGTGTGCACCTACCAACTAGGACAGCGCTGCCTTGCGACAAGACAGCGTCGGATATAGCGTTCGCTACACAGCCTCTCCGTAAACCTCGTGGAAAGTCACTCATTAATCCTGAAGGTTCTTCGCTCTCAAATCTCTCTGGGCTTCTCGCATCCTGTCGCGTGACTTTTTCGGAACCGAGCGGGCCCCAAGACGGTCCAAGAGGACCTCGAGTCGCCGACTGATCGTTCCAAGACGCCCAAGATGGCCTCAAGATGGCCCAAGAGGCCTCCAGGACGCCCCAAGAGGCCTCCAAGAAACCTGCCCCAAGAGGGCCCTAAGAGGCTAGAGTCGTTGATCGTCCGTGGGTTTGGAAAGATTTGGGCGTTCTCGCCTTTCTTGCTTTTCGACGTCCAAGACGGCCCAAGAGGCCCCTGAGACCACCCCAACGCGGCCCAAGAGACCTCCAAGGGTCCCAAGACGGCCGTAGAATGCCCCAAGACGGCCCAAGAGGCGCCCAAGAGGCGCCCAAGAGGGCCCAAAGACTGCCCCAAGAAGAACCACGAACCGAAAACCCAAGCCTTCCGCCCCAAGGGGCCCCCAGGAGGAGCAAGAGGTGCCCAAGAGGCCCCTAAGAGGCCTCCAAAGAGGCCACCAAGAGGCCCCAAGGAGGCCCCCAAAGAGCCCCAAAAGCAGTCTCCAAGGGGCTTCAGAACTGCCTCCAAAAGGCCCCCGATAGGCCTCCCGCGAGATACCAACGGACATCCGATTAGCTCCATACCCACAGCCGAGGCACGGTGGCGGGATGGGTCGAAGGCCATTTGATCCGCCGCCCCCTGTCGATTCATCGCAGGAGTGCCTGGCGTGCTGGACCTCTCGGTTTTGGTTTCGGTTCTTTTTCCAAAAGAATGGCCACAACGTTCGGCCACATAGGCGTTTCCAAAAAGGCAGGGGCGGCGGTAATTCGCCGTAGGCGTCTTCGATAACTGTGCTCTCCAGCGGCCGTTCGGTACGACCCAGGCACCCTCGGCCGTTCGGCAGACCCAGCCACAGGAACGTATCCCGAGCGTGAAACACCGCCGAGAAACGACGACACGTCGGACAACCTCGGACCTCGAACCCCCTCCTCCTCCCCCTCCTCCTCCTCCTCCTCCTCCTCCTCCCCATCCTGCTCCTCCCCCTCCCCCTCCTCCTCCTCCTCCACCTCCTCCTCCTCTCCTCCTCCTCCTCCTCCCCTCTCCCCCCCCCTCCCCCTCCTCCTCCTCCCCCTCCTCCTCCTCCTCCTCCTCCTCCTCCTCCTCCTCCTCCCTCCTCCCCTCCTCCTCCTCCTCCTCTCCTCCTCCTCCTCCTCCTCCTCCCCTCCTCCCCCCCCTCCTCCTCCCTCTCCTTCTCCTCCTCATCCTCCGAACCCATCCTCCTGTCCGATGCACCCCACCCTGAGCCGATCCGCAGAAGGCAAACAACTTGTCGAACCCAGCACCTCGGACCTCGCCCGGACCAGTGCTAGGCAACCTTTCACGCCCAGCCGACTCCAAGGCCATCGGGCCCGTATCGGCGACGAACGGGCGACTGGGGGTCGATGCGTCCCACCTTGGGAGCCGATCCCCACCTAACGTTGCCTCCTGGTCTTTGGGTCGTAACTAACTCTGCTCTCCGGCGGCCGTTCGGGACGATCCTGGCACCCCCGGAGTGCTCTCGACGCGCAGCCGCTGGAAGGCATCCCGAGGCTGGGAAACCGCCGAGAACCAACGAGCACGCCCGACAACCTCGAACCTCGAACACCCTGAGCCCATACCACCTGAGGCCATCCCAAGCACCGCAATGAGCCCATCTCGCCCCGGGCCACATCCCCCCTCTGAGCCCCGAGCCCGTGCCCCCCTGGGCCCAGCACCCCCCCCGTCTGAGCCCACGTGTCGATGCGTCCCGGCGTCCCCCCTGACTGCCCCAGAGCTGGCGAGCGGTGGCAGCGGCGGCGGCGGCGAGGGGCCAGCGGCGGGCAGGCGCTGCGGGGCGCGGCACGAGGCTCCAGCCGCTCGGCGGGCGCGGCAGGGCCTCCTGGAGAGGGGGAGCGGGGGGCAGCGTCAGGAGGGGAGGGGCTGCCGCCCCCCTCCTCCTCCTCCTCCTCCTCCTCCTCCTCCTCCTCCTCCTCCTCCTCCCTCCTCCTCCTCCTCCTCCTCCTCCTCCTCCTCCTCCTCCTCCTCCCCCTTTCCTCGCCTCTCCTTATTTCTCGTCCTCCCCCTCCCCTGCTCTTTCATCGCCCCCCCGTCACTGGTCGCCCACTCATCGCCGAGAAGGGCCCGATGGCCCACCCCGCCGTCGGGGTCTCATGGCCGACCTATCGGCGACTTGTCGCCGAGGCCAGGTCGACGTGTCGTCCCCCCTGCCCCGTCCCCCTCCTAACGTTGCCCCCGTGCGGCGCAGCCTGCGTGGGGACAGAAGAGGGCAACGTCAGGCTCCAACGGCTGCGCCTCGTCGCGGGAGCGTGCCGGGGGCGCCAGGGTCGTCCCGAAAGGCCGTCGGAGAGCAGACCTATGATCCAAAAACCAGGGGGCAAGGTCAGGGGGAGATAGGCCCAAAAGGGGGGACGCATCGACCCCCAGTCTCTCGTTCGTCGCCGACAAGCCGACATGGGGCCCGACAACCCCCACCCCGCCCAGGAACGTCCGGACCTGCAATCGTGGGCCCATCGGCGATCTGTCGGCGATATCTCGCCGATGCCAGGTCGATGTCCCCCCCCCCTCCCCCTCGAGCCTCTCCCCCCCTGACGTTGCCCCTGAGGGGAGCGGGGCGGGCGGCGGCTGGTTCCCTCCGCCAGGGGGGGCCGCCCTGCCCCCGTCCCCCCACCGCGCCCTCCCCCCCCCCCGCGCCGCACTGCGGAGAGAATCCCTGGGGATGGTGAGGAGGCCTGGGCTCCGCAAGGAGCGCGAGCTGGCCGTGACTAAGCAGCTCGGGCCTGCGCAACAGGGCTGCCCGACTGGCCTCCTCGGGCCCCAGGGCCGGCAAACAATGGCTCGGGATGTCGAGCCGATCCCCGGGAAGCGGTCCAGCCCTCTGGGGGTCGGCATTGCAAGAAAAATCACGACGTCGGAGACCTGGGCCGCCCTCCCCCCGTCCCCCGCTCCTCCTTTACTGCCTCCCCTCCCCGTGCCCAGCCCCTGACTTGCCGTCGTCGTCGTCGTCGTCGTCGTCGTCGTCGTCGTCGTCGTCGTCCTTCGCCTCCTCCATTTCCATTTGCCCTACCCTGCCCTCCACCTCCT